ACACACACACACACACACACACACACACACACACACACACACGTTTTTGTGAACTGTGAGGACATTCAATAGGTTTCCATTGTTTATATACTCTACAAACTATTTTCTATTGCCCTAATCCAACCCTGTCACACCCTGCTCCGTACGATCCCGATGTGTGCCACGCCCCCCTCATTACCTCGTGTTCAACCCTGATTGTGCTCGCCTGTGTCATATTAAGTCTAGCTTGTCTTGTGTATTTAGTCCTTGTCAGAGTCAGTCATCCCCAGATCAGTCATTGTTGTAGTGTCACGTTGATGTCCGTGCCCGTCCCTCCCTGAATAAATCCTGTTTACCTGACGTCCTGGCTTGCGCTCCTGCTTCCCTGCTTGCCTCCGTCTCCGAGCGTGACAAACCCTCACAGGGAACATTTAAAAATATTTATAAGCCTTTTGAAAAATGGGGGCATGGGCAATGTCCTCATAAGTCACCTTCTCCTGAAATACCTGTCATACTCATTCCATTATACAAATTTGTATCCTGATATGTCACAAAGATGCACACACACACAAACACAATGAAAGTGTTTAGAAAACCCAAATCTATTTCATTACCAACATATAATTCAAAATATGAAAATATAATAATTTACTCATCATCTACTCACTTTGTTGTGAGTTAATAAATAATGACGGGATTTGATTTTTTTTAGTTGAACTTTCCTGAAGCTCAGTTTAAATTCTAACATTGTATGAAACATGTGATTGCTTGGTAGATGCTCTGACCTGCTGGTGGATCTGAAGTCTGACCACACTGACTCTAACTAGTCTCAGGTATGGAGCTGCTGTGGGATCCAGTGCAAAGGGTAGGGTCTGTTTGAACCTGATCTGCCTGTTTGTGCTTCTTTATAAAGAAGTCTGGTATTTCGCCCTTTCTTTTCATGTTTAATGGACCCTTTGCAAAAATATTACAGTCTGGTTACATCTGATCCAGTTAGAAACATATTTATCCTAATTAAAAATATCAATTATCATACCTGCACATTAAAATCAGCAACCGATCTAAATAACATTATTCTGAAGAAAGCATATCAGCTGGCTATTCCATTTCAACTAAATTTAACTCACAAACAGCTAACCTAACATTACTTCCCCATATTAGCAAAATATCTGAGCATCGTAAATTAAATATAATAACTTAAATACATGGTATGTGCATGTAATACTAGCACAGATGAAGTATAGCGTTAACTGTCTAAAGTGTGAACTGATCTCTCTAATATCATTAAGTTAACTGATGTCATCGGCGCCTCGTTAACTTACACAGCGGATAATAAACGTTACTCAGCAAACAAACCTTATAATAAACTATAAAACGTATTTCAAATATGATGTTTTGTTATTCGTCTTACCTTGAAACCATGCTATTGTCTTCGGCTCGTCTTTGATTTGAAAATAGCTTGAGCAGCGTTGCCGGCAAAATTCAAAAACTTCTTTAGACAAATGAGCATCAGGAACTGCCAGCAGCAAAATACATTTTGGGGTGGCACCCGGGGTGGCCAATCGGATGTCAGGGATGTCCAGTGCCACCACTGGGTGGATCTCCTCCCAGTTCTGGACCAGGGCATCA